ATAATTTAAGAAGAACAGAATTATAATCTGGCCAGAGTTGGATGACCCACTGGAAGTCATTGAGAGAATTAAGAAAATTGCAGGGACTATTTCTATGTCCCTGCAATTTTCTAAAGCTTATATTTCAGCCTCACCATCATTTTGTGCAGCACTAAGTCCCACAGGAGAAGGCATACAAGTATTCAAAGTGAAACAGTGCTTTCCTATTTGAGATTTCCAAATTAGGCCTATCCACAGATCAACAGTTTCTTACAAGTCAATCCATAAACCCATCAAGGCAGGGAACTTGGCAAACTGATTTAGCCTCATTGGCTCTAGTTTAATTACAAAGGAGGCAGAGCTGTTACACCCCAATACTAAACACATTTACAGAGAAGAAAAAAGCTCAATTCAAATCAATGGCCCTCAATTGCAAGCAAATGTTTTTAGGATTGGGATGTTAGTCAATTAACAGTCTTTCTTGCAACCAATTAATCAACTGCTTAGCTGATTAAAATAAATGTGGAAGCAGCTCAGCAAAGAGGATACTCTGTGATACTTAATGAAAGAATCGTTTTAATAACATAGGCACCATTTATTCTTTTGGAAAAATTATCTTTTCTTCACTTGGACAACAATGTTTAACTACAATGACATCATCAGCAATGAAACCTTTTCATAAAGAAACTGATTAAAACCAAATTAAAATTCAGGTTTTAATCCACCTTGTAATTGTTTTGCATACCCATGTCACATCCTTCCTCAGCTATCCTTTTCTAAGTTGAAGAACCTTAATCTTCTTAAGGCTGTTTTCTGACATTACCACTTTAAACTATGAGTAGTGTTCTTCAAGTCCTACCCTGTCTGAATGCAGTTGATAATGGAGGTGACAGAGGTTGTTCATTTATCTGTTTGTTTACTACAAAAGAGGGTCATAAATTAACTGTTTCTCTTTCTGAAGGGAGACACCTATATAATTATTGCATTTTCTTTACCAAGGAATGCCCCTTCCTAAAGACCAGGGATAAATCCTTCATCTATTAGCCTATGATGCAATTTTTGACCACTCTGAATTAAAAAGAAAGAACATACTGCTCTACAGACAGATTTACATACAAAACAACTTGAGCCTGCATAACCAAGCAATGCTTATTTGGTTTTCCACATGTGTCGTGAGGGAATATTTGAATTGTTCAAAAGTGTGAAATAATCTCATAACCCTCAAAATCTCCTTTTGTGGAAAATACCCAGGTCCTCTAGCAGTTTTTAATCTTTCTTTAAAATCTCATTCTCAATTTGTTTCTTAAAGTTGCAGTCTCACTCCCGGAATACAGTATATGTAATACCACTCCCTTATTACAAATTCCAGCTCAAAATCCCTTCTTTTTTGAAGCCTTTGGCATAGGTTCTTTAGCCCTCCTCTGCGCCTGTAGCTCCATTTACTTTATTCATACTTTGAACAGAATCCTTTCCACTGTGGCAATATGACTGAAGGGGGATATGTTATTTTTGGTGATCTGCATAGAGGGTGAAGAACTGCTTCCACCCCAAGGACCAAATTCAATTCCAAACATGTTCTGGGGGAGGCATCTTTGAGCAGTGGGTGGGGCTCAGTGCAAAATCAGGGGTCAAAAAATACCAGCATGTTTTGTTTTAAAGCTCAGTAATCATAACCAAGTCTTAGTAGAGGCATTGCTATATTTTAGAAAGGAAGAAATCCAGGGGAAAGGGATGTGGCTGTCTGTGGAATAGATGGAGGATGGATTATAGGTAATGACAGGATCAATTTGTTAGGGACTATGTATACTAATTTAGCTCCGCTGTGTATTTTGGATTGAATCAACCAGTCAAGCAATTGGACCTAAAGTGGAGGTGAAATCTAGTCCGCAAGGCTCCCCAGTTCAGCCTGCAAATCTCACCCTGGTGGGCCTATCATCCTTCTGACACTACTAGGTACATCAATACTGTACTTTCTTGTCTCATCCTCACATGATAAAACAAAGAACTCCAAAATAATTAGTTGAGTGGGATTGCAGGTTCTCCAGAACCGACACAAAAGTGATGGCAGTACTTTCTGTATTATTAAAAAGCCACACATTAAATCCAAACATAAAAATCACCAGGTATAAGAGTCATTTTAACATATGGGCAGTTATAGAAGACTTTCCAAGCTATGTTTCTGTAGGGGAAAGGAAGAACACTCCCGTATCTGTTCAGAGGATTTATCAGATTGAACATTTCTTCACTGAAAAGGGACGGTGCACATGTCACTGCATAATAAATAAAAACTATATTCATTAACATTTTAATAAAGGAGGAAATGAGCATGATAAAGACAGATGGGCTGTGTATTTCTCAACCCATCTGTTTGGCACTCCATTTATGACACCACACCCGTGAGTAGCTCTGGCTGAAGGAATCTAATGAAATTCACAGATAGGCTGGAATATCACCTTCCCTCAGCTTTCAGGCAGGTACGGATGAGCGGCTTTCTGAGCACAAATCAACTCATCGCTGCAAGCCTCAAAAAAATATTCTGCTGTGCCTGGATGTGTGTATGGGCGTGTTATGTGTTACTTAGGTTGAAAAAGTTGTTGAGTCTGAAGATTTCCAACAGTGAATTCTCCAAAGTAAAATAGCATTGGTGGCAATGCTGTAAGCTATCCTGCTGTCAGCGTGTTTTTTTTCCCCATACTGAGTTTCCTTACTGCCTGCATCTTACTCGCAACTACGCCAAGGAGTGAAAACATGAGAAGTGTCTCAAGAGAGCACCTGTCTACCTTTCTGTTCAAAGATGGGGTTATTATTGTTGCTAAGAAAGACAGTGTCTCGGTTGGGGGACAGTCATTTTTAAGATCAGCATCAGAAGGCACTCTCCACATTTCAGGATCTCCGCAAAAGGCAAGAAAGTGATTTCCTATTTGGGTAACATTAACTAAAGGAGACATTTCCAAGGAATAACGTTATTAGTCTATATTCGGTAACTTAAAAACAGGAGCTCTGTGCCACCTTACAGAATAACAAGTCTTATCTGATATAAGCTTTTGTATAGTCCACTGTGGCATCTGAGGACATGGGCAACAATCCAGAAAAACCGTATTAGTTTTTAAGATAGCATAAACCATTTTGCTGTTTCTTTTGTAACTGGCTGCACAAGGCTTTGTTCAGGTTCACCCTCCTAACTGGCTAGATCACAATGAGCCTCGTCCAGGAAGCAGAGCTCTGTTGATTCCAATTTAATTTTCTTTAGCCTTAGTCGTGTCACCAAGTTGTCAAAACTGAGTGTGGGGAAAACTTTTATTTACCCAGGGGTTACTCAGAGGTGACCGGCTGACCATTCAGTCACACTGCCTGCTTTGCCTGGCTGGCTGGGTTCGATCCCAAAGGCCAGTGCACTAATGGTCGGGAAAGGCCTCCTGAGGGCCCCTTGCCTTCCTTAGCACACACTGAGTCTCCTACTCTCGGGTGCTCAAGGGACAAACACACAAAAGCAGGTTGTTGCTTCTGGTTGCAAATCAACCCTGCACAGAACGTAAGCAACCCAAACACCTTTAAAATCTCCAAGTGCCCTCAGAAACAGGAAAGAATACCTTCAACCCCTTTAGCTATCTAAACAACCCCATAGCTTAGGTAAAATTTTATATTTTACTAAAAGCAACAGTAGCAAGACATAAGACAAAAGTTCCAATTCAGCAGTGATTACAAAATCTATCCTTGGTAGCAAAAGCAATTTTACAGAGCTCGAAACATAATGAGGCTATCCCCACAGAAAACAAAGAAAAGTTAACTTTCTAAACTATACTTACAAGCATGTAGAGTTCTTCATAGCCAACAGCATTATTAAATCATGGTGATGATCCAAGATGAAGGATGAAATGGAATTAACTAACCACCTTCGTTAAATTCCATCATCCTGCAGTTCTGTTGTAAGTGTCCACCCATCAGCAGGCAGCTTTTAATTGGTTTCAGCCATACCAGTCAAGACCAATTAACCACATTCTAGGTGTGAATGCTAATCATTAACAAAACTCCATTTCCCCTACTCATGCCAAGGCAAGGATGTTCTCTTCAACCTGCTTATCTCAGAATGGCCCTCCGGTGCTCCACTTCTCCCAAAATATTCATGCCTAGACTGGTCAGCAGGGACATTTTACAGATTTTACCAATTTGATGTAAATTAACCCTTTGACCACCTTACAGATGTTACCATCCTGAGGTCAACTCCATAAGCCATAATTCCTCCACACTCAGTAGCTAGGTGCCTTTGTTGCAATATACCACATTCAGCACATTCTCCTTGATTGGCTGAAATAACAAAGGGGGGGGGACTTAAATTAATTGGTGATAGTGACAGAGCAGTGAGGGGTCTTTAGCAGCAGCAACCCATGCGAAAAATGTTAGTCTTCAAAAGATAGGTCAGTATAACAGCATTTGGCGGAACACTGGTACCATGTTGACTTTTGTAAATATGAAACAGTGCTTGTTTTTTGTGGAAGATAGCAGTGTTACTAGCTCTTGTCATGTTCTGCTCTCAAATGATGCAACAACTTCAGAAGTGCTACCAAGAGGAAACGGCATTACATTCTAGCATCTAACTCTATCTGTACCTATGTGGTCAGTATAATAAACCTACTAACTATGCAGGAAGTAGAAGAAACTACCCCAAAATGTCCAATTATCTGGGAAACGTCACA